CTGCAGTTCCCCTGAGCTCCTCCGTGCACACCCTGGGTTTGCCGTTCCAGTTGGAACTTCTGCCCCTGAGCCACCAGCTTGGTCACGGTGGTGAATGACCCTGCTTTGTTTCTGCTCTGGCCATCCCGGGACACCTCTTCTTTTAAAAGGGGGTTGTTATTAGACTTTAGGGTTCCCTTCTTCCTGTGGTCTCATCTGTCATTCTTGCAAATAATTCCTCAGATTTGTTTCTCTTTCCTTGGGATCTTGGACATTTCATTGATGGTGATGGGTTGATGGTGAGGGTGCCAGCGGGCTCTCTGGGGGCAGGCCTTCCCTTCTTGGCTCGCTCCTCAGGCTCGTGCGACCATTTCCCTGCGGGACCCCGGCGGTGTTCGTCCCGCTGAGCGTGTTGTTTTCCTTCCCCAGTGATTCCTCCTCTAGATACTCTGACTGGACGGCCGATGCAGGTATCAACTTGCAGCCACCTCTGCGGACCTCATCTCGTCGACGAGTTACTCGATTTTGTAGTAGTTCAGAGGATGAAATGTCTGCTGAGAATTTGTCTCCTCCAAAAAGAAGACGAAAGAGAAAGAAAGAGAATAAACCTAAAAGAGAGGTAAAATAGATCTTTCAAAACGTATATATTTTAATGGCCCTTCTTTCCAAATTTCAAAACTAGAACTCTGGGTCTTAGTCCTCAGTTTTTATAGGCAGACTTGCCAGCTGTCTCAGGTAAAGCACAGACTTGTTTCTCGAACGTGACTCCTATTGACTTTCTCCTTGAGCCAGAGCAGGGGCTCCTGTCCTAGGGCCGGGGCTCGGCTTGCCCCTAGCCAGCAGGATGAAGCCAAGTGGCCACGTGTGATTTCCTTTTACCTTTTTTTTTTAAATGTTGATTTATTTATGCACACCTAGGTGCGGGGAGAGAGGCAGAGTGGGGAGCAGAACAGGCATTGACAAAGTGTACTGCTGAGGGGAGCAGTGGGCAGGTCAGGAGATGTCTGCTGGCCCTGTGCGCCACTCCCTGGCCAGGCCTTGAATGCACGCTGAAGTGGTTGCAGCTTCGCTTCAACCCACTGTGCCACCAGGGCGGCCTCTTTTTACTTTTATCACAAGTTATATTTGTTGAGGTGGTACTGACTGGTATCCCAGTTACATGTCTCAGGGCTCTAGGTCTATACCCCAGTTACATATTATTTCTCCATAACCACCACCAGTTCTGCCTTCCCTTGGAAGATTGCAGTGGGGGCCCATCTCAGGGCCGAGCATTTGACCTTGACCACAGAGAAGTTGGGCATGTTGAACATCCCAGTCCTAAAAAGCTCAAATCTAGGCGATTGCCCGTGGTGGGATTCAAGTGGCTTGCCAGGTTCAGCTATGTGCCGAAGAGGATTCAGCCTGCAGATGGCCCTATCAGAGGCGCCAGGCGTTGGGAGGGATCCCCTGGAGACGAGCTGGCGGAGGCTAGTGGCAGGCAGGTCTGGTGGGAACCAAGCGGAAGTGCTGTTTGGAAACCAGCGATGATTATGGTGATGGCACATGGGTGACTTGGTGATGGGAAACCCACAGGGATTACAATTGAGATTAAAAAAAAAAGTACAAAATGATGTAAAGATAAACTATTTTATTATAAAAGAAGAAAACCAGTGATGCCCACTGGCACTCGCGCTGCCCTTCTTGGTTCCCGCTGAGCTTGACTCTTGTCCCCTTGGCAGAACTTGAGGAGAATGACTCCCGCAGAGCTCGCAAATCTGGAGCAGTTATATGAATTCCACCCTCCAGTTTGGATAACGGATACCACACTTCGCAAGTCTCCTTTTGTCCCTCAAATGGGTGATGAGGTGAGAGTGGAAGCATTCGAAAACATGGAAATGGAACAGAAAGCAAAAGGAATACTGCTCTTTAAGTTCTTATTTAAATTCATGCTTCTCCTTTGTAGGTAATATATTTTCGGCAGGGTCATGAAGCTTATATTGAGGCTGTCAGAAGAAATAACATCTATGAGCTGAACCCTAACAAAGAGCCATGGAGAAAAATGGATCTTCGGGTAAGGTGGTAGTGTTATTAAGTGATTAACATGCGGCACACGTGTAGTGAAATTGTCTGTTAAGTCCACTAAAGAACCTATTGGAAGCACACTTCATTACTATCTTTCAGCTTCCTACTTCAGACTGCTTCTATTACTATCATCTGCTTAACCTTGGGATCGATAGGAAGACTTAGATCAATGTGAAATTGTAAATGTATTAGAGTTTCTCAGGAAAACAACTTGGTAGTATATGTCATTAATTTTATATGTATTTTTTTTTTTAATCTGTATTTATCTATGCTTACCAGAACTGGGTACAGGCCAGAGGTGCAGGGGGTGAGAGGATTCTCCAAAGAAAGAGTGGGGAGCAGAACAGGTGAATCTATTGAAATCCACTGTTGAGGGGAGCAGCCGAGAGACAGAAGGGGTCTGCTGCGCCCTGTGGGTCCCTCCCTGGCCAGGGATTGAACTCCTGCTGCAGTGGCTGCTGACAGCTTCACAGTGCTGAGACTTAGCCCCTTACGTCACCAGGCAGGGCCCATGTCATCAGTTCTAAAATGTGGATAGCTGGCACAGATTTGCAAAAGAAGAAATACAAATTGGATAAAGCATATAATTTCATGCATAATAAAATGTAGAACAAACTAGTTCTCTATACTTAGCCAATTTGCAATATACAACAGGCTTCCTTTTTACTTTTTTTTTTTTTTTAAAGATTTATTTATTTATACATACAGAACTGGGGTACAGGCCAGAGGTGCAGGGGCAGCGAGAGGCTTCACCAGAGTCAGAGTGGGGAGCAGAACAGGCAGATTGACAAAGTACACTGCTGAGGGGAGCAGCGGGCGGGCCAAGAGAGGTCTGCCACACCATGTGGTCACCTCCGGGGCCGGCGGGAATCGAACTCATGCGGAAGTGGCTTTAGATTCTCAGTGCAGTGCTCCAACCCGCTGCGCCACCAGGGAGGGCCCCTTTTTACTTTTAAAGGAAGAAAATAGCATGTTTTAGCAAGGGCTTTAATTTGTTAACAGTTAAGTCTGCCAAGCAGGGACTGCTTTCTACAAGGTGTGTGGCAATTAGAAATAAGCAGAAGGCCATCCACTGTTTAAATTGGTGACCTTACTTCTGGTAACTTGGGAATCAGCCAGAAATGCATGACATTTTATAAGCATGGTAGTTGCAGATTATGTATAAAAACAAAAGACAGTTCAAATATTCCAAGCTACTGAATGGTACGTTCGTGCACTTACCTGTCTTGTGAAGCCCACTGCTTTACAGAGACTTATAAAATATTTGTTGAATGTGGCCCTCCCTGGTGGTGCAGCGGGTTAAAGCACAGCATTGAGAAGCTAAAGCCACTTCCGCATGAGTTCGATTTCCGCCTGCCCCGGAGGTGACCACATGGTGCGGCAGACCTCTCCTGACCTGCCCGCTGCTCCCCTCAGCAGTGTACTTCGTCTGTCTGCCTGTTCTGCTCCCCACTCTGTCTCTGGTGAAACCTCTCGCCGCCCCTGAGCCTCTGGCCTGTACCCCAGTTCTGTATGCATAAATAAATCTTTAAAAAAATTTTTTTTTTGTTGAATGAGTGCTGGGTACATTTCACAATAATTGTATTATTACTAAGAGGAAACTGTAACGTGAAATGCTGTTTGTGGTTTTAATAACAAAATTTTAAAGACATCATCAGCCCCCCAAAATACCTCAGACTGTCAGTGGTGATTATAGAATAGCACTCTTAAGTAGTTTTTTTGTTCTTTATATTTTAAATAAGTATATAGGTAACAATGAAAAAAAAGTAGTTTTAACAAAATAGCTTTCTTTTTTTAAAAGATCTGTTCATGCATACAGTGCTGGGGTACAGACAAGAGGTATTGGGGGGGTGAGATGGTTCACCAGAGACAGAATGGGGTGCAGAACAGCAGATGTACTGAAATACACTGCTGAGGAGAGCAGTGGGTGGGTCAGGAGAGGTCTGCCATCCATGTGGTTCAGCTCCCTGGTTGGGGATCGAACCCGTGCTACAGTGGCTGCAGACAGCTTCATGATGCTGCATTCAAACCCATTGTGCCACCAAGGAGGGCCTGAAGGTAGCTGTTCTTAACAACACTCATCTGCTCAGTGGCTCTGTCACTGCACGTGTGGCCTCAGATAATTCTGATGTCCGTACATTGGCTTCATCAACAGCACTTACCATCACCGTTGACCCTTGCATTGAGCGTCCCGACTTGCTCTGTGTTATTTGCTGCCCTGCTCAGTATGGGGGTGCTTTCTGGCCATATGGGGACAACGTGCTTCCTAAACAGCATCTTTCTAAGTGAGATGGTGGCTTCCTGGTGGAGCATATATATTTTAAACAAGAGTCCTTTTTGCAGTCTGTTGAATGCCACTTTAAACATTTTTTTGACGTTGTTGAGCTTTTTGTTGCTTGCTTGCTATTTAAAGCGACCCCTAAGTGCAGGTCTAAAGTTCTGTCTTGTGTTCCCAGCTCATGAAAGCAGTGACTTGCATACGGAGAAATAGGTCCCTTAGACACACTTTACAGCATGTTTGTCTAGTGCTGTTGACTGAGCTCAGTCTTCGCCACTGAATGTCGAGTACTGAGGTGTCTTTACAGACACATGGCTTACACTCCGTGTGGCCGGTGGCTGCAGTGTGCGCGCCGCCTGAGGGACCTAGCCCCGCTGCCTGTAGGAGCCAGGCTTGAGTGCTCGCCACGCCTGCGCAATGGACAGCACTCTAGGCCCAAACGGGTCCCTGAAGTTGAGTGCGTTTGCTCAGCGCCTGAATGGATGGCTGACCTCCATAACCTTGTATTGTGCTGGGGGCCGCGGGCTCAGCCACCACGTGCAGTCACTACAGGTGTCTTGGCACTGTCCAGCCCCGGCAGTGAGGGGCAGGTTCCTAAGACCTGTTTGGAAGGGTAGTTACAAATGAGCTTCTACAGTCTGAGGAGAATGCATAACAGAAGGTTGTATAAAGGAAAGTGTGTCTCTAGGAAGAGCAGAGGTCAGAAGGTGACCCATGTGTTTCATAGCTGCTATCGTTAGAGACTGAGCTGATCGACGCCTGTCCGCCCAGCTTGCGGCATTTCGGAGGAGGCCCCTAGAGGAGCACATTCCTTACAGAGCTTAGTGTGTGTCTTGAAATGGATGTGGGTCCTCCCTGGTGGCGCAGGGGATTAAAGCGCTACGCTGTGAAGCTGTCTGCAGCCACTGCCACTGAAGAACAGGCTCCATCTCCAGCCAGGGCGGAAACCCACATGGCATGCTCTGGCCGCACCCCAGTTCTTGTATGCATAAGTAAATAAACTTTTTTTTTTTTTTTAAAGATTTAGTCATACATACAGAACTGAGGTACAGGTCAGAGAAGCAGGAGGGTGAGAAGCATCACCCGAGACAGAACGGGGAGCAGAAAAGGCTGATCGATGAAGTACACTGCTGAGGGGAGCAGTGGGCGGGTCACGAGAGGTCTGCTGCACCCTGTGGTCACCTCCCAGGCGGGGATAGAACTTGTGCTGCAGTGGCTGCGATGGCTTCATAATGCTGCGCTTTAACTCGCTGTGACCCCAGGGAGGGCTCAATAAAAAAAACCTTTTAGAATAAGTAAATGCAAAACGATTATACCTGATGGTAAATTGTCTGCTGCTTTATAAAGCCTCAATTATGAGTTCACTGAATTTGGCTTGTAGAGTGGTAATCTTCAGCATTTGTTTTATTTTAACCATTTTAAATATTGTATTTAAATAATAATGATGTTTTGATGATCTGTATGTAAAGGATCAAGAACTAGTCAAGATAGTTGGAATCCGGTATGAGGTTGGGCCTCCCACGCTTTGCTGCCTCAAACTGGCCTTCATAGACCCCGCCAGCGGGAAGCTCATGGACACCTCCTTCTCCATCAGGTGGGTGGTTGATGGGGTTTTGTGCACTTGGGCTTGCAGCGCACCGCTGAGTGTGGGCGGAGGTGCTGCTAGACGGGACCCGGCTGGGGACACGGTGCGCCTCGGCCCGGGGCCTCCGCGTCGTGCTCTCCCGGCTCTCCGGCCTGTGGGCGCCCCTCCCTCGGGGCTCATTCTGCCTTGAGGATCTGTGAGGGCAAATATTTGCTTAAACCTGCCTCCTCAAGCCACATGGCGGTTGACCATGAGAAGTGCTGCTGCTGGGACTGAATGTGATGCTGGTAGAAACCATGGACGTGAGAACGGGCGGGAAGGGAGGTCACACGCGTGCGCACTCCATCTGACTGCACCGCCAGCAGCATGCTAGGCGGGGTCCAATAAAACGTGCTGTAGAAGCCAAGCCAGTCATTTCCTCTCCCTTTCTTTAATGAGGCTAGCCAGAAGGTAAAACGTGTGCAGGCGCCCCCCACCCCCCGTGGGTTTCTCATGAGCTCTGTTGCTATGGACTGTGGTCACCCACGTGGGGCTGTAACTGCCATGTGTCTCCTTCCAGGTACCACGACATGCCGGATGTCATCGACTTTCTGGTTCTGCGTCAGTTTTACGATGAAGCAAGGCAAAGGAACTGGCAGTCATGTGAGTCTGGTGATGGGCGTGACCTGTATGTGAAAGAGTAGGTTTCCCATCCAGAGCGTTGTATCTTTGGTGCCACATCAGCCACACTTAACTAGGGGTTTGAGGAAACTGGCCCTTTAGGAATGGAAGCCTCACACACAGCTGTGCCCTGATCCTTCAGGGCACCCGTGCACGGACCTACCGCAAGGGGGAGGCTCGCGGCATGGGCACCAATGGCCAGGTGGCTTTCATTGTGCTGTTTCGGGCGGGCTCGCGGGGTGGACTCAGGTAGGTCCTTATCCTCCTTACAACACCAGTGAAGACTGGAGCTGGGCCAGGTTTGCTGCTTAACAACTGTCCCACCTGTTTCAGCAGCGTGCACACACACAGTGTTCGGGTGCAGGATCAGGGCCCCCGTCTTGAATTGGACTTGTGACCCTTCCACAAATGGTTCATTTTGTGTTTACTAGTTAGGGTCTCTTGCTGAAAATCAACCTTTATTCAGGTCGTGTCGTTACCTGTATATGTTCATTAGAGAAGCGGGAATGCGCCAGTTTTTCTAGTTCTTGCAGGTACTACAGGGTTACCTTAGGTCAGTTCGCTGACAGCCCAGTTTGTACAGCAAGATTGACAGATGGTAGCTGCTTACTAGACTCTTCTGAATGGTGGCGTCTGCATAAGCAGTCAGAATTTCATTTTGATTGACATATTTATGCAAAACTCTTCTTTAAAGAATTGTTCATTTTTTGCTTTGCAAATTGATGGACGAGAAAGAAAGGAGTCATTATAGCAGCCCAGCTCTTTTGGAATATCTGTAAAACAAAAGTCACATGCAGTTTGTTTCACTAGACGTGTTACAGTTAGAGAACACATTCGGAATGTGTGTAATCAGACTTAGTTTGATGTACTCTTCACACAGTTACATTGACCTTGATAGGAACCCCCTGGAGATGGATCCCCCACTTATGGGCCCCCCAGGCCTGGCCCCCACTCTTATGTTACGCCGACAAAACAGGACGTATGGGTGTTCTTTTCAGCAAGTATGTCGGCACTGCAAGGGCAGTACGTAGAGCAGCTCTTTTACCATGCAGAGCTTAGCTGGAGCACGCTGGTGGGGTTGAAGCCTTCTGTTATGTATGAGCAGCAGTAGAATAGTCATGAGTTGTCACAGTTTTTGATTTGATTTATTCTTTGGGAAATGTTAAATATTCCCTGAGTACCATGTACTTAATGTACCTGTTGAATAAGTAATTGGTAATATCCACAATTGTAAAAGATTTTTTGTGTGTGTGCTTTGTGAAACTATTATTTGCTTCATGTTCTAAAATGTAACAATTCTGTGGCATTTGCAGTCACTAACCAACCTATTCATTACTCTTTCAGTCTGTTCGTTACAGAGCTTTGTACCACCAGCAACTTGTTGAGTGTGACATGTTTTTTTTTTAACTTCTGGGAAGTGGGCAAGAATGGCTAATTTTAAGATAAACGTATACCTTGACCTTTGTGTCACCTGTATCCTGTGGCATTTGTAAATGAAAAGTGATGTCACAGGTCTGTGTCTCCTCACCCTGTCATCTGTCTCGTAGGCGACAGGTTCCGCTCCATCATCGACGATGCTTGGTGGTTCGGAACGGTGCTGAGCCAGGAGCCATACCAGCCCCAGTACCCCGACAGTCATTTCCAGTGCTACGTCGTCAGGTCTGTACGCAGAGCGCAGCGTGCGAACACCTGGCTGGGTGGCAGGTTACTGTGTCACTGACGTGCACCTGGCCACAAAGCCGACCTCGAACGTGCTTGGAGTCACGTCACTGCCTGCTCGCTGACCTCGCGGTGCAGTGCTGCCTGCCTCCGGGGCCCCCGGTGCCTGCTGCCGCCAGTGGCGTCACGCAGGGCGCCTGTGGCACGACTGCCCTGTTCAGAGGCCTGCCCTGCCCAGCGGCTGCGGCGTGGCCTCCCATTCTGCGGCGCACCGAGGCTTCCAGGGGCTTCGACTCTCCCTGCTTCCCGCTGGGGTGCGGCCCCACAGGCCCTACAGGAGCTCTGCTCCTGGCCTGAGCCCACCGGGCATGTTTGTGCATCTGTCTTCTATTGTGTCTTTCTGAATTCAGTACCTAAACTTCAACTGCCACAGTGAGGTTATCTTTTTGTTTTCTCTTGAAGTTGAAACCTAGTTGCTAGCCTCACTCTGGCTTTCTGAAAGGCTACCCATGATTTGTTTTTTTAACAGATGGGACAATACTGAAATTGAGAAACTGAGCCCCTGGGACATGGAACCAATTCCTGATAATGGTGAGTGCTTGTTAAATAGTGGAAGTGTTTTATATGCAGTGGTTCTGAATTTTATTTACAAATGCAGAGAGAGCACTTCAGTGTTCCTCTGAGGTATACTTTCACGTTATTATGGCAACCCTGAACTTTACTAAAAGAAGTCAGCAGAGTTAGGAGTGGCCAGCCCATCGGGTCTCCGAAGAGTCCAGCTTGCTGCTGCCTGCCTCCCGATGGTCCGCCAGCGTTTCTCACACAGTCAGTGCACATCCATGCTTTGATGCTGTCATCTTGTTTTTGTTTTGGTGAAATTTGTAGTTGATCCTCCTGAAGAACTGGGAGCTAGTATTTCTGTCACCTCCGATGAGCTAGAGAAACTGCTCTACAAGCCGCAGGATGGTGAATGGGGGCAGAAGTCCAGAGATGAAGAATGTGAACGAATTATTAGTGGTATAGATCAGCTTTTGAATCTTGGTAAGTTTTTTCGGGGTGAAAAGTTTTGTTTTCCAGTTTTTTCCCCCACAGACATTTTTTAAAATTGAAGCACAGTTGTGGTGCGTCCTACGATTTCTGTTGATCGTCTTTGGTGAATAAACATAGTTCAATAGTTCCTGATTTACGAATGATGTGTAGCGAAGCACCAGTTAGCGGGAGTGGATGTGTGGGTGAGTCTTCTGTCTGCCCCTGCAGATATAGCCGCAGCTTTCGCTGGTCCTGTCGATCTCTGCACCTACCCGAAGTACTGCACCGTGGTGGCTTACCCGACCGACCTGTTCACGATTCGGATGAGACTCGTGAATCGGTTCTACAGGTTAGGAGAAACTCACCTAAAGCCTTGTTTGGAAAGAGAATCTGGCTATTCCAGCTGCGGAGAGAGGTGTGGTGGTTGGCAGGGACAGCAGGGGGCTGAGCTACATTCTTTTTGGTTTCATTCTCTTCGTCACAGTGGTTTCTTGGTCTTCTCTGTGAGACTCTGTGTTGATACCTGTAGGCAGGTATGGTAAAACTCGGACAGTGACAAATAATGTGGGATGTCATTTCTCAGCTCTTCGCCTGATTTCCTAAAAATCATGGTACTTAGAAATTACATTTGTTTTTGTGTTAACATTCCAATTTGGGGTTCTGTTTAAAAACAGAATTTGGTTTTATTGATGACTGCCTTTGGAAAACTTATCTACAAGTTATTTTTAACTTTTTTCAGAGCGTTGATCATTAAAATTTCCTATTTATAACAATTTTTTTTAAAAGCATTAGATGGCATCTTATTTTTTGTAATTCAGCTCCTTGGGAAGTCACCATTACAGAGCGTGGCCTCTGTAGCCCGCGACGCGGCCGCAGCGTCACTCAGTCTGCCCATTGCATGCTTAATCAGAAGGCACTGGGCAGCTCACAGGGCTGGCGCTCTGAGCGGTGGCGCTGACTCGTTGTTCCCTGGCACCGCGGTGGGCTCAGGTCGCCGCTGCGAGGGTGAGCAGGGACGGCTGCTCTGCCGTGGCAGGAGTGCGTGGGCTCTGAGTCTGCTGCCCGCCGGGGCTGTGGGCAGCCCGAGCTTCCATCCTCGTCCCTGAGCTCCGACTTCATGACAGGTTGTGTTGCTGCACAGACGGGGAGCTTTTTGACTCACTTCGGAGTCCTAAGTTTCCTATTTTTATTTCTGAAGGCGACTGTCTGCGTTAGTTTGGGAAGTCAGGTACATCGAACACAACGCCAGGACGTTCAATGAGCCCCACAGTGTCATCGCACGGTCTGCTAAGAAGATCACGCACCAGCTTTTACGTTTCATCCGGTGAGTGCTGCCTGCGGGAGGTGCTGTGCCCTCGGAGGGGCTGTGTTGCTGGGCTCCTGCAGCTTCGGCTCTTCCGTTTTTGTTCTCCAGATGACACCCTTTTCATGCTTTACTCTTGGTGACAACCACCAGAATTTTTACATTTGTCTGCTCTGATCACTGTGAAGCAAATCTTATTTCATATGTGAGAAGTTTTTTTAGATCGAGTTTTCAATTCTGCATGCAAGGACTGGGGTACAGGCCAGAGGTGCGGGATGGGGTGGGGTGAGAGGATTCACCAGAGAGAGTGGGGAGCAGAACAGTGGCTCTACTGAAACCCGCTGCTCAGGGGAACAGCGGGGAGAGGGGAGAGGCCTGCCGCACCATCGCCAGTGAGGAATCGACGACACAGTGTTTTCTGCTTTGGAAAGGTCGCAGGTGTTTTATTACTGAGCATGCCCTGGCAGATGCCCTCCTCCGGCCTCTGCTTGGCCAGCACCTTACATAGCCCCCTCATGGTGAGATACCAGGAAGCTGGGTGCCATCCTGTTGCTGAGGTGGAGCTCACTACATCTCCTCAGTCTTCGGATGTCCTTGGATGGTTTCGGCATCCAGTCCGGACCCCTCTGGATTTGCCAGTTTTCTTAGTCGCCCTCAATCCGCCCGCACTCTTACGCGACCTTAGCATCATTTGGTGCGTGTTGAATATTTTGTGGCATGTACCGAATTTGGGTCTGTCGGCTGTTTCTCATGATTAGATTGAGTTTGGCTGACTGGGTTGTATCCAGAAGTGTGTGTGCACATGTGATTTGTCCTGTATTTTCCCACTCCGGGTCGTCAGTTTGGAATGGGGGATGGTGACCGGCCAGGAATGGAGACTGGGGTCTACCCGGACCTTTGCACCAAGCATCTTTGTGCTTTGGCTTCTCTCAAATCAACCTTTTTCCTGTTAAGACTCCATGGCCATTACCTTCCATGCCTCGGAAGGACTACTGTCACTGTCCAGATGGCCTACTCTCCCGAGTCACCAGCTTCCCTGCACATCCTTTTTTGGTACAGGCCAGAGGTGCAGGGGCAGCGAGAGGACTCACCAGAGACAGAGTGGGGAGCAGAACAGGCAGATCGACGAGGCACACTGCTGAGGGGAGCAGCGGGCGGGTCAGGAGATGTCTGCCGCGTCACGTGGTCACCTCCGGGGCAGGCGGGGATCGAACTCATGCGGAAGTGACTCTAGCTTCTTAGTGCAGCGCTTTAACCCGCTGCGCCCTCCCTACACATTCATAACCCAGGGAAGCCTTTCCAAAATTCTGAGATGATGAGTTGTCTTCATGGAGTTTGAAGATCTGCTTGGAGTGGGGGTGCACACAAAATGGGGGGGGGTTCTTAACATGTAGGTTGAAATTTTTGCAATGGTTCAACATCTGTATGCTATTTTAAAAGTGAAAAATTGTTTTCTAGGAATCAAGAATGTACAAATATCTCAGAACTTTCTAACACGTCTGAAAATGATGAGCAAAATGCCGAGGACTTGGTATGAAGTTTCTGTTTTATAATGACTGTTAATTTTCAATGTTAACTTAAAAAAACGCAGTTGTAATAGAAAATGTTGGTCGTCTACATCAATTACTGGTATATTCCAACAAAGTGGGAAAAGAAGGCATTTGACAACAATACATCTTAAAATTATTTTAGATTACCAGTGTATAATTTTTTTTAGCCACTGACAATAAACTTAAGGTCTAAGTGGATGACTTACATGTACCCTGTGTTTACAAATTTCAGCTAGAGTGACGAGTGTTATGTATAAGAAATACCTTGGAAATATTTTTGCATAAACCATTGAGTGTTGACGTTAACTGTAATTAAAAATTAATTTTACCATGTTGAAGGCCCCCTCAAGCCCTTCCTCAAGATAGTGTGAGGTGTGCGTGCTGGTGGCCCCAGTGGGGTGTGCAGTTCTCCTCCCACCGGGCCAGGCTGCCCTCCGGACTGGGTCGGATGGTCTTTAACAATAGTGTCGATCGTGGCACAAACTTTTATCGTGCTTTGCCGATTTCCATACTCCTGAGTGGCATAGGGAACGAGGTGCTATGCAGAAGGTGAAGTCCAGAGAGTGTAGGAGGCGTGTATTTTGGGGGTCTTACTGATTTTGTCATCTGACTGTGACTTTTGTCTACCTGAGAAACAAATGCCCAAGTGCTTAATGCCTGCTCAGTATTAGCGATGAATGCCGTGTAGCAGATTACAAATCAAATTCAGCAGATACACTTTTAAAGCTGCTTGTACATGTGCTAAATGTCTAGGATGTTTAGGACACACACAGAGAAGCATTTTACAGCTCTTCGCTGGAATTAGTGTGTGTCCTTAGGGAATATAAACAGCTACTAAAGTGGGTGCCACCACAGTCAGCTGACAGTCTGTCTTTTGAGGTTTTGTTAGTGAGTTGCAACCCTTTTAAGACCTGATGTTTTAAGAGAATTTCAGTGAGAATCTTAACACTTAATGGTGCTCTGATTTTTTTCCCCTAGGAGGATAGTGATCTTCCTAAAACATCTTCTGGAAGGAGAGTAAGTTAATCTTCCTGTTGAAATAGAGGGTCGTTGTTTCAAGTAGATAAGTGGGTTTCAAGGGATGAAAGCGCTGAGTGTTAAAAAGAGGTCTGGGTGCATTCGCTGTAGGGATGTAGGGGTAACGGGAGGACCGTTACGGTGCTGGGCTAGAATGGGAGGGCGGGAGGAAGGTGAGGAGGATAGGATGACTAACTCTTTATTAAAATGAGAATTTATTGGGAGGGTGGGATTAAAGAGATGGAAATATGAAGCTAAGTTTAGATACTGGGTTTTTGAAGCTCTTGAAATTTCGATGTTATATGTGAATTGAATTGAAAGTAAAGGGTGAAGTTTTGATGTTATGTATTAATTGAAGGTAAAGGTTGTTGGTCTGAAAGTACTTAAAAACAAGCATTTAAATTTTATTCAAATGCTGTTTGCATTTAAGCTTTTTATGACATTCAGTTTCATAATACACTTGCCCCAAATAACTTTAAAAATTTAACCTGAGTTGTCTTCTCATGGTTATTTTCATACACACTGCTGGTGTTCAGTGTCTGTTTCTATTTGTTGTGTCTCCTGCGGCACATTCCAAATGTCGCAACGTAAACACTGCCAGTGTGTTTAAGCTAAATGCCCATAACCAGAGCTTATTTCCATCTTTCCTTCTCCTCAACCCCATGCCCCCAATAAATTCTCTTATAGTTAGATTGGAAGTCCCCCAAGGCCCCTCAGGACTAAGCCAGCGGGTCAGGTGGGATGTGGCCCTTCGCCTTTTCTGGCCACGGGGGTGGGGATGTGGGGTGGAGGTGGGGCGGGGCGCGGCGCCTGCCCCTCTTCACCTCTAGGTCAGCAGCCCAGTGTCTGCTGGTCTCCGGGTCAGGCCCTCCCGAGGGCCCTCGCGACTACATTGGATCTGTGCGGGTTCCCGGCAGAGTCCCTGTCGCCTTGCAGGCCAGCAGGGCGACAGGCCTGGGATGCGGCTGTGTGCACACGTGCACGTGGAGAGCCATTTTCTGCCCGTCATGTCCTGTCGTGTTTTGCTTCATTTCTCTACTTAGGGAAGAAGTGGTAGAATGAAATGAGAAGGTTTTTCCAACAACTAATATGACATTTTGGTATTTTTACAGAAAAGTGGTTTTGTCCCAGTAGATAAAAAATTTACGGTAGCCAAATCTTAAGGGCTAACACAGAAGACAGCAGCGCGGTTGGGTTTTTAATGTTGTGCATAGAGTGTCGTTTCGCCTGACTGAAAACCTCTTAATTCGTGAATGTGTTTGTAGCTCCATGACTGGAATACAAGGAACATCAGAGCTACTAGCTATGTTGAAAACAACTGGAAGAAGCAGTGCAAGGAGCTAGTGAATTTGATTTTTCAGTGTGAAGATTCTGAGCCATTTAGGCAGCCTGTCGATCTGGTTGAGTACCCGGTAAGCTGCCACTGTCGGGTCGTTTGGGGCTGCTCTTGTTGTGTGGGAAGGAGATTGTGCTAGAGGTGTCTGAACTTCTCAGGCTAAGATTTGGATTTCCGGTTATAGCCTTGCCTCTCGTTGCTGAGTTAGCAGTAGAAGAGTTGTTTTGCGTAGTTTTTGTAGACAACCCTGTGGCTTATTGAAGAATCAAGACTCGTACAAGTTTCCTGTAACACCGGGCAGACGTGCATGGCTGTTACGTGACCAGGCTCAGCCCCAGATGGCCAAAAGCCGCCTTCACTTTTCAGTGGGGAAATAGAAATGACCTTAAAGAAAAAGTCTGCTTATATATTAGAAATGTACTGTCAGAAGCTTGGAAATCATAGAAGAGTTATAAAGGAGGAAGTAAAGATAGTTTCATAGTCTGCTACCCAGTGTAGCATTTGGTGTATTCCTTGTCTACCTGGGCTTCTTGCTAAAGTCCTAACCTCTTGTTGAGGCTTTAATTTTTGAGTTGTTGAGCGTTCTCATGCATTTACCTTTCAGAAAGCTGTAAGAATCTTCGAACTAATTACTGTGTTTAAAACTCAGGACTACCGAGATATCATAGATACCCCAATGGATTTTGGAACAGTCAGGGAGACTTTGGAAGCGGGTAATTATGACAGCCCTCTGGAGTTCTGCAAAGACATCCGCTTGATATTTAGCAACGCGAAAGCATATACTCCAAACAAAAGATCAAAGGTAAATTTAAAGGTGGTTTCTTTTTTAAATAGTATGCATGATATGTGTAGGGAACAACTTTTCCATTCACTGGTTTCAGGAATCTTAAATACAAGTAAGACTGCTGCTAAGAATAGATCTGGTGCCACTAACGGGTACCTGTCGGTCCCTTAATTGTTGTATGCTGAGTAACTTTTCAGAACTGTTGAAGCAGAATAGTTTGAACATGTGCCATCAGGGAAGTTCACAAGAGCAGTTTCTGCTCGTCACTGTCCTGGGGCAGCCGTGGGGTGAGAGGATTTTTTTTTTTTAATTATTTTTTTAATTATTACAAAAGTTTATCTTTACATCATTTTGCACATTTTTTTTTTT